TCTAACTTGATGAGCCATTAGTGACTCTGTAGCAATGACAATTGCTATAAAGTACCTGGATGAATAGGATAGTCCTGAGCTCAGGGGAGGGCTTTTTATATGCCTCTTTTTTATTTTTTCTATGATGCAGACAAGATTCCCAACTGAAGATTCACATATGTGGTAGATGTTCCTCATGATGGCCATAAAGGCCAAAATCCATCAAAATGGTGCTATTTCTGCTGATTATGGCTTGTTTCTGCCAGTGTTGGGTGGCAAAAAGCGTAAACCATTGCTTTATTATTTTCTTTCATAATTTTTGGTAGTTGAAATAATAGTATGTTGAAAAAATACAGCATTCATTGAATGTATGAGTAATAGGCATATCATCGACTGATAGAATATGGAAAGGAATGTGAAATACATTAGGTTAAATGTAGCATGTTGTATACAGATTAAAAAAGAGCATTTATTTCTGGTGAATGCTGGCTTTTCTCTCTGCCCTCTCACCAGTGGTTCATACTTCATATAATCACAAAATCATGTAGATTGGAAAAGGCCTTCAAGATCATCAAGTCCAAACTTTGACCTATCACCACCTTGCCAACCAGACCATGGCAATAAGTGCCACATCCAGGTTTGTGTGTTTCCATTTTGCAATCTTCAGTGTTTGGGAAGAGTTTCCCAAAAGTTTGGGTAACTCTTGATAGGTGCAGAATATTGTGCACTATACATTGCAGGATTAATGCTGTTTTAACAAACTCTTGACTTTATAGGGGGCTTAATGTTCAGACTCTTGTGGCAAAGTACAAGTATTGGAGAGGTGAAGCAGGTTTTTCTCCCTCCCCTCCGAGGTATGTGCCCTGTTCCTCCAGTAGCAGCTGCTGCTTTTGCAGGCATGCAGCTCTCAGTTAGTGAAGTACTTTTTGAACTACACCTGTTTGTCCTGCAATAGTCGGGGCTCTGAGTGTTAAGTGAATTTGGTTTTGTATAAAGCAGTGCTCTGGGCTGAAATCTGGCGATGCACAAGCTGTGCCGTACTTGCTGTGGGGATAAGCACTTTCTGTCTGCAGCTGGAGCATGTGTTTCAGCTCAGCATGTTTGTATCAGCAAGAAAAGTTACATCTGAAAAAAAAAACATTTTCCCCCCCTACAGCAGTCCATTTCTTGCAATAATTTTTTTCTTAATCTCACTTTTTTTGCTAGATTGTACCAACACTTACATCTTTAATCTTCTTCACACTGAATTATACCTCATCACTATAGCTAAAGGAACAACTTAAGCTGGTTTTCTATCATAAATAACATTATGTAAACTTTTTTTAAAGTACGTTGCGACTGGGATTCTGTTGCCTAAGGACAGAGGTCTGGAGCTATCATAGATGCTGCAGGTTATTAGAGACGTTTGTGTAGAACAAACATTCAATTCTAGGAGACCAATGCTTGCCTAAAGAAGCAGTTGGAGGCCAGTGGGGCTGGGTATGGCATAGGAAATGGGACTAGATGACTTTCTACATGCAGTTTAGTCCAACCCAGAGTTTCCAAATTAACGGGGTGCTATTGTTAATCATTCTCCAAAGTGGCAAAACATTGTCTAAAGAAAGCAGGGTTTTTGTATTTTAACTCTTCTAGTGTGCACATTGCACAATATTTCTGACTGTAACATGACTAGATTTTCAGGTCTTTAAATGTTTGTGGATTTGGGTTTTTTTTGGGGTTTTTTTAAAGGTTAAAAATTGGGATTTTGTAAGGTTGCTAGGGCTGCCAGGTCATAGTTAGTAATGAACTTGTACACTGCTGTAATAACCTGCTGACTGCTGTTTGGGTGTGTAACATTGGCACAGTTCATTTTGATAGCTGTTGTTTTCAGCTAGTGAGTGTAGTTTCAGCTAGTGCTCGGTTTTAGCTAGTGAATTTGAGAGCTGAAAGCCTTATTTATGCTCCAGTAATGCTCCTGCAGTAGTGCCTTCAAAGTATACAGTGTGTATACTGTCGTGTATCTATTTGTGTAGCAATCTTTGTATTTGAACTGAAAAGGGGATTGCTAACAAAAAATGTAATAGACACCTCTTTCCTGTTTTCCGCAAGTTGGCAACTATTCTGTTTTGTGTAACTATGGCTACAAGGTATGTTGCTCTCACACGTAGGTATCTTTAGCAAAGCGTTGTTACCCTCCAGCTTGTGATTTGTTACTGAATCTTTACTGATTTTTTTTTTTGGACATATGTTAGACATAACAGTGGCTGAAGAACACAATTTGTTGCTGCAGCTCCAGAGAGCAATCTCTAGGCTGCAGGGTGGTGAAAGTTACAGTCTCTGTTTTACTTGTAGCGTGTAGGCCTGAACTCGTGCTTTATGCTTGTAGGCGTTACTGAGAGAGGTGCTATTCACTGCAGACTGAAAGGCAGTTTGTAAAGACTGTAGTTCATACTTTCAAGGTGCTGCAAAGCCCGAAATATGTCTGGAAGAAGCATTTTGGAGAAGAGTGTACTTCTTGGTAGTGAACTACAGGCTGGGGACAGAGTGGCTGGAGAGCAGAAAGGGACTTGGGAGTTTGGATTGACAGGAAGATGAACATGAGCCAGCAGTGTGCCCAGGTGGCCAAGAAGGCTAATGGCATCCTGACCTGTATCAGGAACAGTGTGGCCAGCAGGACCAGGGAAGTGATTCTTCCCCTGTACTCAGTGCTGGTGAGGCCACACCTGGAGTTCTGTGTCCAGTTCTGGGCCCCTCAGTTCAGGAAGGACATTGAGGTGCTGGAGCAGGTCCAGAGAAGAGCAACGAGGCTGGTGAAGGGACTCGAGCACAAGTCCTATGAGGAGAAGTTGAGTGAGCTGGGGCTGTTCAGTCTGGAGAAGAGGAGGCTCAGGGGAGACCTCATCACCCTCTACAACTACTTGAAAGGAGGTTGTAGACAGATGGGTTGGTCTCTTCTCCCAGGAAACCAGCAGTAGGACAAGAAGGCACGATCTTAAGCTTTGCCAAGGGAAGTTTAGGTTGGATATGAGGAAGAAATTTTTTACAGACAGAGTAATCAGACATTGGAATGGGCTGCCCAGGGAGGTGGTGAATTCACTGTCCCTGGAGGTTTTTAAGGTGAGACTGGATGTGGCACTTAAAGCCATGGTCTAGTAGCCATGGTGGTGTTGGATCAAGGGTTGGACTTGATGATCTTGGAGGTCTTTTCCAACCTGGTTGGTTCTATGATTCTACAATTTCAAATACAACCATCACGTTACTGGCTAGTATGAGGTAACTCTCCCTGATCATGGAGGACAGTGTTCAGTAGGTGCAAACCAGTTAATTTCTGTGCTACCAATTGGTGTTCTGCTGATCTAAATGGGATGTAGTTCTTTACTGCAGTATTCTTCTTTCTTGTCAGCTATAAGCTGCTTAGAACTGGGTTACTTAAGCTATGGCAATCTACAGTACTGCTGTGACTTCTACCGGTTAATCTGTTCTCTTGATAAACTGGGGGTTCTGCTTTTGCTGCAGGCAAGCATTTCTGCCTGCCTTAGGTAAAATTGTAGCAGAATCTCTGGCAATGTCAACAGTCTCTGGTTTCTTTCTTTTATCATCACTGTAGCATGTGGCTTATGGGCAGTGTCTGCTCTTCTGGTCTTTGTCTGCTCTTAGTCATACAAATGGTCCTCTTACTGAAGAAGAGAAGACTTGTTTCTGTATTGTCACTGTTCAGAAACATTTTGGGTAATACAAAATAGTGTCTGTACCCTGTGGCCCTAAAACTCGATGGCTGCTATACTGAATATGTGATTGCTGTAGGTATAAAATGACTATTCCTGAAAATAAGGTAATTATTTCTGACTGGATTTGTTAAGGGAAAAATACTGTGCTGGGTCCAACAGCTTGAGGCTGCTGCAGCTCCACGCCCCCAGGTATAACCAGTTGTAAGGCTGAAAATGTATTCCTGGTGGGTACAAGCACATAGAGCACATGCACACATGACATTTACATGAAAACATGTCTGGCCACACCAATCAGGCAGACACACAGATACTTAGAGAAACACAGCAAAGACAGCCTTATCTTGCTCCCTTCCCTGTCTGAGCAGGAGATCACACACATATACATAGATATACATATAGATATATATATATCTATATGTACTGAGAAGATATGTCCAGCAGCTGACCTTGGACACCAGCAGTTGGTTCCAGGATCCCAGATTCCCTGGTTGCTGGTGTGTGGACACTTAGACTCCTGAGGCCATATTACTGTTCCCAGCACTGGCACATGCTGTCTTGTTTCTTGACTGGCTGAGACTGCCCTGGTTACCTGATGTCCAACACCCCTCCACCTACACGGCCTTGCCCTTTAGAGAGACATAAGTGTGCATGCACATGCAGAGCTGGTGGTGCTCCCCTGGTCCTCTATACAGACTTTAGTTACTGTTTTGGTGCACATTTGTCAAGTGTCTCAGAAATTTATTTCATTTAGTTATGTGCTTCTGAGATGATTTCCTATACCATAAACCTGTGTTTCCAAGATACCTTCAAAGGGGTGTTGGCCTTTTGTAACGTTGCTCTTCTTTTGCCAGTTTTCAAATCAGGCAAAAAAACCCAAATTGAGGAGCAGCCCTGTCAAAGTTAAAGTTTGTGGTAGGCAGCAGTCAGTGCAAAATTTGGATCTCCAGGTTAGTCTGGACCTTGGTGTTGCCCTAATAACTCTGATGTCTTCACTTTGTGGCACCACTATGCTTACACAGTACTTACACAGACTATGCAGGTCTCTTTCCTTAATGGATCCATAATGGATGCAGTATTGTGAAATAAATATCTTTAGTGGAAGAGGAGATAAGGGACTTCATAGAGGTGTTTTACCTGCAGCCGTGATGCATTTTAGTGTGAATTCTCTTAACATTTAGAATTCTGGTTTAGTGGGCTTATGCTCAGAAATGCCTGATTTATAACATGTAATTTCCATGATGTATGTGAAGGCCTGCCAGTCTGAGCATCGGGGTGGCCCCTGCTCGGTGGGGTGCTGAGTTCGGGGGGGCTTTGTCAGAGTCGTGCCTGGGCTGTCCTGAGCCGCTCGTTCATCAGCGAGTCTATGACTCTGCACAGGGCCCAGTGTGACAGGGCTATGTCAGCCCTCTGACGGTCAGGGTGCTGCAGGGTCAGATACTGTCCCTGGCCTTGGCGGGTCAGTGGGAACTTTGCCAGAGGGAGGGAGACCATCGCTGCCTCCGGCTTCAGCGTTGCTTCCTCGACTGAGGGTTTCCCGGGGAAGAGGCCAGTTCCCGTAGGCGGCAACGCTGCCGAGTGCAGGCAGGCGAGGTGCGCCTTCTCTGCGAGGTGCGCCTTCTCTGCGCCGAGGAGAGCGGTTCTCCTTTCCCGGAGGAGGCGGCCCCTGCCCTGGGAATGGGGATGGCTGAGCGGTGCCGCCGGGGCTTGCGGGGCAGAGCGCGCCCGCTGGGGGGCGCTGTGTGCCCAGTGGGCCTCGCGCGCGCCCCTTGCGCGGCCGCGGCGGGGTCGGGGCTGCGCGCGGGGAGGCGCGCGGGGCCTCGTCGGCCGCTGGCGCGTGAGCCGTGCGCGCGCGCCCGTTCGAGAAGGTTCCCCGCGCGCACGGCGCTGCGCGGGCCGGGCCGGGTCGGGCGGCGGGCCCTGCGCGCGGCGCGGGCACGTGACGGGCAGGCGGGAGGGAGGGGGGCGCGAGCCTGCGGCGCGCCTGCGCGCGCTGCGGCGCGGTGACGTCAGCACGGTGCGCACGCACGTTGTCCCCAGCTGGCGGACACACGGTCCGCGTGAGAAAGGAAGCGGGAGGCCGCGCGCGCCTCGCGCACGGTAACGACCGGGGAGCGGGGCCGCGCCGGGGGCAGCGGCCGCGTCGCGCGCGAGCCCCGCGCGCCTCCCCGCGCGCCCCGCACCCGCCGCCCGAACTGCGAAAATTGACACCAGGCGCGGGCACGAGGCGGCCGGGACCGGGCCCAACGGCCGCGCCCCGCCGGCCACGCGAGGCGCCGCTGCGCGCGGACCGTCTCGGGAGCGCCGGCAGAGCCCGCCCCGCCGGGCAGGGCCGCGCCGGGTCCCGGCGAAGGGCGGCGGGGTTTCCTCACGTGCGCCGGTCCCGCTGCCCTCCGGCGGCCGGCGCGGGCGGTGGTTCCGGCCCCCGCCGCTCCCGGGCGGCTGCCGCGGGTGGCGGCTGCCGGCCTCCGTCCATGGGCTTCTGGCTGGGGCCCGTCCGGCAGGGAGGGGGACGGGGGGCAGAGAGCCTTCAGAGCGACAAGCGCGGCCCTCGGCCCGCGGCCATGACTCCACCTGCCCCGGGCGGGGCGCGCTCGCCTCTCGCCGCCGCACCCGGGCGGCCCATGCGGGTGCTGGATCGCTCGCCCGCTCGGTCGGTGGGTGGGTGTTCAATGGGAGCGCCGCGCGCGGTGCCCGCTGCCATTGGGCGCGCGTCACGGGGCTCGCGGCGGCGGTGGCGGCGGGCGGGGCCGCCCCGGGGCTCGCGCGCCGCCAGCGGTCCCCTTCCCGCGGTGCCTCCGGGCGCCGCCCGGCCCGGAGCGACGAGCGCGGGGCCGCGGTCCCGTCCGCGGGGCGGGGAGTTTGGGTTGGTTTGTGTGTTTGTTTGTTGAGACGGACGTTCACGTCCGATTGTCTCGTTTTGAGCGGGTCTTGGTGCGACTTGGAGCGTGTTTGGCCGCTGCTGTCTGGCTGGGTGCTGCTTCTCCAGTACAGCGTCTGCGTGTAGAGAAGGGAAATACTTGAAGCTGTTTAGAACTTCGGTTTCAACAAATACACTCATTTTCCCTGAAATACTAGATTAGAGGCTATGTACTACAACAAAACGGTGTGTGACCGAGTGTAACAAAATGTGTGAAATTGCTCGTGTAGTAGTCCGTGTAGGCACTGAAGTAACACGTTTTGGCTACTCTAACTGCACATAATCACTATAACCACACACATCTTCGACTGATTTGATACTGTGTGTGGCACTTGTGGCAGAAATAACTGTAACTGTTGCTCAGTAGGTCTTTATATGCATAGAATTTTTGCCGAGTACATGATTGTTGAGGTTTTTTGATTTTTTTTTTTTTTTTGTAGGTGTAAGTTCTACCTCAAGTAGATTTAAAGGTACAGGCCTTCTGCATATCTTAAATCAGATTTGAAATCACTTCAGTAGTTTATTTCCTTCATCAGCCAATACAATTGAGGTATATATTGCAGAGAATAATGTGAACTCACGCTATGGCTGTACATTCACTGTACATATGAACATGTTGTATGTTTATATAGAGAGGGTAAGTTGATGGAAAACCACATACAACTTAGGGTGTGATTTCTTTCTCCCCTCTCTGTATATTTGAGATTTAGTTTTCTATTGTGTTTGTATAGATGAACATGAAAAAGGTTATTTTGGGGATAGCATTCTGTGTTGCTGGGACTTAATATGTGATCTACTGAAAAAGCAGAGCAACATTCTTAAATTAGAAAATATGAAGATGATTTTGAATAGCTAATTCATTTTGTATCCTAGACTCTCTTAAGGAGTTCTCATTGGGTAGGTGGTTGCAGATGTGTTTGTGGGGAAGAATTTCCTCTGGAAACTAAAACTGAAAACCAAATCTTGTTACTTCACAGGTATCAAAATCTGTGCAGAACAGTTTTGGTTTATTTCCTCTGATTTAACTTTTACATTCACTTTTAAAGTAGGAAGTATAAAGGGTGGAAATAAATTTCTCCTCTTTCTTAGGTGTCCAGAACATTTATCATGGGGTATAAATTGCCTCCTGAGCTTGAGGTCGTTTGCCACATGCATGTGGCAGCTGGTTTGCACAGAGGAGTGTTTCTTCCTACCATACCCCAGTCCTAACAAAGTAAACGTGTCTTATTAAATATCCAATTAATTTAAAACTTGTGAATTTAATTCTCTGGAAAAAAATATGATTGTTTTCCAGCAACTAACTCATAGAATCATAGAATGGTTGGGAATGGAAGGAATCTTAAGGGTCACCTAGAGCCAGCCTTCCTGCCAGGGACACCTTCCACTAGACCAGGTTGCTCTGAGCCCCATTGAGCCTGGTGTTGAACACTTCCAGGGATGAGGCATTCACGGTTTCTCTGAGTAATCCGTTCCAGTGCCTTACCACCTTCACAGTAAAGAATGTCTTCTTAATATCCAAACTAAACCTACTGTCTGTCATTTTGAAGCCATTCCCCCTTGTCCTGTCACTGCATGCTTTTGCAAACAGTTCCTCTCCAGATTTCTTCTAGGTCACCTCTAGGTACTGAAAGGCTCCCCAGAGCCTTCTCCAGGCTGAACAACCTCAACTCTTTCAGCCTGTCTTCGCAGGTGAGGTATGCAGCCCTCTGAATATCTTGGTGACTTCCTCTGGACTTGCTCCCAAAGGCCGATATCCTTCCTGTTCTGGGAATGACCCCAGAGCTGGATCCAACACCCCAGGTGGGGTCTCACCAGAGCAGAGCAGAGGGGCAGAATCCCGTCCCTTGGCCTGCTGGCCACGCTGCTTTTGGTGCAGCCCCGGACACGGTTGGTTTCTGGGCTGAAGTGCACATTCATTGCCAACTCATGTCCAGCCTCTCACCCACCACCACCCTCAGGTTCTTCTCAGCAGGGCTGCTCTCCATCTGTTCATCCTCCAGCCTGGATTGATACAGGGGGTTGCCCTGTCCGAGGTGCAGCATCTTTGCACTTGATCTTTTTGAACCTCTTCTCTTGAGTGTTTATTCGTCCAAGTCCCTTTGGATGGCATCCCATCATTTAAGCAAGTTAGTTTCACCACTAACTTTTCAAATATGGACCCCCGGGGGACACCACTTGTCCTGATGTCCTTGTCCTGGCTGAGGCCCAGTGCTTCACATTAATCCATTTAATCTTAGCTTCATGACCTCTTGGGGATTAGTTTGTCTATCTTTTTCCAAAGCTTATCCATTCAAACTATTTTTTCCCTTGTTTTTGTCTTTGCCTTTGACAGACAAGTAGAAGTTCTTGGGGTGGGGAGGAGTGTAAGCAAAGAAATTCCAACCACACAAACTTAGCATTTTCAATAAGGAAATTAAGCGAAAATGTTTTTAACGTTTCTTTTTCTTTTCCTCCTTCAAATTTTTGGGAAGTTTTTGACCTCCGGGAACTCCTTCTTTCTGGCAAGACTTTTACCTTTACGTCAGAAATGTGTCATTTGCTCTCCTGAAAACTTTTGGCTAATATCTGAAGAGTTGAGGCAATGTCAGAAAAAAGAGCACTTTGAAATACCAAGCAAACCAAGATATTCTGTTGTGGCAAAGCATATATGAAAATGCTATTTAAAGGTCTACTGGCCCCCCGTGTCTTTAAGATGGAAATTACATACACTCTTTCAAGTTCTTAATGTGGAAAACTCTTACCAAAAGGGTGTCTCACAAGACTTAATTACTTTCTTAGATTGTATTGGAATATTTTTAACTGTTTTCCTTTTCTTCCAGGATGTTGAACACACATAAAAGATCATTAGAACCGTGTAGAATTTGCATTTGATTTGAGTTTGTGAGAGTGCTCATCATGGAGAAACAGCAAATTGTCTTGGCTAGCCGGGATGGCGGGACCGTGTCTGGTGCAGCACCTGCTTTTTTTGTCATCTTGAAACAACAGCAGGGAAATGGAAAAGCTGACCAAGGAATCCTGGTAGCAAACCACGATGCTTGTGCTCTCGCCAGCAGTGTATCAACTCCAGTAAAACCCAGAGTCAAGACCTGCCTCCCAGCTGACTGCGTCTCAGGGGGCATTACTGTCACTCTGGATAACAACAGCATGTGGAATGAATTCTACCATCGCAACACAGAGATGATTCTGACGAAGCAGGGGAGGCGCATGTTCCCGTATTGCCGATACTGGATTACAGGTCTGAATTCCAGTCAGAAGTACATCCTAGTCATGGACATATCCCCTGTGGATAATCACAGATACAAATGGAATGGCCGTTGGTGGGAGCCCAGTGGGAAGGCAGAACCACATGTTCTTGGGCGAGTGTTTATTCATCCGGAATCACCTTCCACTGGCCAGTTCTGGATGCACCAGCCGGTGTCCTTCTACAAACTTAAACTTACCAACAATACCCTGGACCAGGAGGGTCACATAATCTTGCATTCTATGCACCGTTATCTGCCACGACTTCACTTGGTGCCTGCAAACAAAGCCACAGAAGTCATTCAGCTTAATGGCCCTGATGTTCATACATTTACCTTTCCACAGACAGAATTCTTCGCAGTTACAGCCTACCAGAACATCCAGATTACCCAGCTGAAAATTGATTACAATCCATTTGCTAAAGGATTCAGAGATGATGGGTTGAATAGTCGACCTCAGCGTGATGTGAAACAGAACAGTAACTCAGAATTGGAGGGAGGTGATGTTTTTAGTGCTGCTGGCATTTGTGGTCGCCCTGCTGAAGTTGATGCATTAGAAGTGCATCAGAGAAGTTTAGATTCTTCACTGATTGGTCAAAACCCATCAGACATCAAGCTTAACAAAGAGTCCTTTAATGCAGAAGGAGACTTTCTGGGTCTCCTGGACACTGACCTGTCTTCAGGTGTTATGCCAAAGCTAAAACAAGAAGTCTCTGAAAGGTGGGTTAACACTGCATTTTTGGTACAAATACTGGTTGAGTGGGATGTTTGGTAAAGAGATAACAGGATGCTCAGTGTACAGATTTACAACTAAAAGTTGCATGACCTGAAATGGAAGAACACTTAGTATTACTATAAACTTTTCTTTGCTTGAACAATCTTAACAGTCTGGGCTTTCTAAGGTGTTTGAGGAGTGCAAGAGTTCAATATTATTTTCTGTGTTGCTTTAGCTCCCTTTGTTAAGAAGTGTCGAGGGATTTCTGTTAACCCCGTTAGCATTTTAGAAGGCTAAATTTATTTTTTCAGAGTTTTAAATAGCACATTGCAGTCACCAAAACACTGCCTTTCCTTTTAGGGTTGCTTGCCACAGTGGCGTGCTGTCTATGTAGCTTCAGTTTGCATTAATGGATGCTGTGTAGTGTGTGTGGGTGTTCAGGTTGGGTATGTATAGGGATTGCTGCAAGGCACTTGTAATTGGCAGCACACCACTGTTTTGTCAATAACTGCTTGGTGTGAATTCTTTTATTCCACAAAGTAGTGTGGGGTAGCCTGCCTGTTGGTAGTATGAGTCAGTTGCCTCATATTTTCTGTGAGAAAGGAGAATCTGCACCCACAGAAGTACTTCAGAATAACTTCCTTTTGCTAAAGCAAGCCTGGCAAGGCCTATTATTTTACTGCCCTTTCACTTAGTTTCCAAAATCTAACCAATAGAACAGAGCAGACAGTGAATAGTTAATGTGTGTCAAGAGATGCTAGAGGTACTTTGAATGTGAAGAAATAAAAAGAGTATAATAAAATAAAAGTGACATGTTGCTTCATGTCACTTTGTCACTTCAAATTACAAAGTTCTCCATACTTTGACACTTTATTGAGTTTAATTGTAATAATTCTTGAGTACTAGAATTGTTTTGAGATCTAGAGTGCCCTAACCTTTCTTCTGCAGTATTTTCCAGTGTCAGTCTGTTAGGAAGAAGAACATCTAGACTTCTTATATTCCCCAAAAATTGTGTTGTAACCCACTTTAAAGACTGAAAGCACAATGATTATAGAGAGGATGGGCTTTCTTTAATTCCTAGGAATACAGCATGGAGAAGTGTTTAGATAACTTTATATATTGGAAGTAAAACTCGAAAAATAATTATTGACAGGTTTATTTTGCCTTCATAGCGATACTTTATTTTCCTGGAGAGGGTAATTGAAGCAGATTATTTGGAGAACTGTTTATTTCAAAGGAATAAAAACCATTGTTTTAAGGACTCAAGGACCTTCCTAAAAAATATATGATGCAAATTGACAGACTTTATTTCTTTTGGTCCAGAGCATGTTAGATGCCTTCCTTGGTTTTGCCTCCAAGACATTTTATCTCTGAAATGTGCTAAAAGCTGCACAGACAGGAAAAGACTGCAAAGCATCTTTCTATTGTCTAGGCTTGGGAGCACGTGCCATTTGATGAATAATTGTTACCACCATCCTGAACTACCTTTAAGCATTGTCCAGCTTCTTCTTTTAGGTTTTTGTAATCTGTGTGAAAAAGTAAAATTCAGCACTTAGAAAGAGAAAATTGATCTTATCCAATAAATGGCAGAATTGTCTTTGTATATGCTGGAGTTTTTCAGAACAGTAATTCTCCTTTATATTCCTGATCTATTCACAGTCTTTTTGTGCCATGTCATTGAGTTTATAAATATGTCAGCCTTTCAAGGACAGCATTGAGCCCGTGTCATTTTTATTTATCAAGCTAAGCACATTAATATTTACGTATTAATGAAGACTGGGCAATAGTTTTTTGTGGCAGGCAGGCTCTTAGTAGCAGTTGATAGGCTCTATCTTGCTTTTATGCAGGGTATTGATTTCTGCTGAGTTTAGGTTTGGGTGAGAGGCAGAAGTTGGGAACTGCTACCTCTCAGATAAAAGAAGTGGAGTTCCTAATGCTGTAGAGCGTGGTACTTCCCACCAATACTCAATTCTTCTGACATTTTTGAGAATGGAACTATGTAAAAGGTTGCATATACCTGAGAGTAATTTTAATCTTGAGTTATTAGAGGATTTTAGAAGTAAAGGACTGTTTGTCTTCATATAAGGTACTATTTGGAGGTTTTTTGTGTTTTTCTTCTGTGTTCTGATATTATGTTTAGTTTAATCAGGTGTGTTGTAAAGAAAATAAATGTTTAATTCAAGTTGTGGGCGCTTCTATAAGAATGCTTATGCCTGGAAACACTCAGATGTTTGGGCCATGGAAGGAGCCACAAACAAAATTTACTGGTTCTTAAGTGTTTCAGGCTTAATGTACCATTTCTCCGTTCCAAGGTCTTTTAGATTTCTTGCTTCAAAAATAAAAATTCTGTGGGATTTTTAATTATCAATTAGTCTTGTTTTTCTGATTTAGTTGTCTTGTGTTTGTTCTTGACAGTTTGCTTTTCTTACTTCTTCGCCTTTCTTTTGGGAGAGAAAGACAAGTGATCATCCTTCAAATCTCTGCCACAGGTTGCTAGATTAATTCCACAAGATATCAGATTTTTCCCGCCCTTCCCCTCTTGTATATTTTGAAATGATGTGCCTAAAAAAAATTGATATGTCTTGGTACTTTCAAAAAATGAGCAGCTTAATGGTTTTTAATTTGGCAAAATGCAAGAAGGCAATTTCTCTGCTTTTACTGTTCTGTTGCAAGGGTGCCAAATAGATTACTTGGGCTGTAAGGAAGGTGGTTTGAATATGAGCATTGTTCCATATCAGGCAAAGAAAGAGCTAGTTAAGACATTATTTCACTATTTTATGAGATCTTGGATTAAGCTAAGAATTTTGAGAGGACAGACTTTCTTGCCCATAGATGAGAGAAAGAGAAGTTTGTAACTACTTACATTGCACATAACTTCACCAACTAAGGGCCAAATGAAATTACTTCAGTGCTAAGAAGCAACTTTTTTATTCTTTAAGAAGTTGATAATTGCATCAGAATTT